TACCAAATCAGAAGTAATATTTTTAAATAGCATGTCTTTAAATAGAAACTCTCATTATGTATTGATTGGTTGGCAAAAATGTCATGACCAGAGCAGAGGCTTTCAGAAACATAACCCCTGTATTTCTCCTAGGAGCTATGGTTCAGTATTTGTGGCAATTTTATAAAACACAGTTACTGTAAATAATGAGAACAGATTGTTTAATTAAGGGTGGTAATTTACAGATTTAAGGTAGGTAAAACATTTCGTAATCCCCTCTCTCTGAAATCACTGTTTTAGGTCTGTTTGAACACATATATACAGAGTTATTATGTAAAATCTAATTTTACTATGGATTCTGGTCAGGTTAAAAGCCATTGATTAACTTTTAAAGAAATATTCTCTAGAAAATTAATATGTTCCTGAAGCGTATTGGGGGCTCAGTAAATATTTATTTTAGGGAATTAATCTTTAGGGATTATAGTGATTCTGATTTTGGAAAAGAACGTACTATCAGTGTTAGAGAATTCTTATGTAGACTGAGGCACATGAAAAAACTCAGTTGAGTGCTGCTTTGCTAGAAGCTGGCAATCTTGAGAAATTTACTTAATCTCTTTGAACCTCAATTGCTTGTCTGCCTTACTTGGAATCATTTTCACTCTCATTATGCCACTCAAGGAAATTCTACAATTTAATGTCAATATATTAGCCCTCAGATTTTATTTTACTGTCCTCCAGTGTGATCTCACCACTTATCGATAAAAACGTAAGTGATGTATTTGATCTGTGTTGACATTATATACTAGTACTTCTACTGGTAAGAAGAAATAAAAGCATCCTGGCATTTTACTTTGATTTCTTTTTTTTAGGGTATATATAGGATTCTGTTTATTGATGTTTGTATTTTTATGACACAAATCCGAAATTATACAAAAAGTTTTCTTTAAAAAAGCTTAGAATTTCAAAAAGCAAGAGTATGCATTCTTTTGATAATACTTCATTTATTAATTTTCCAGTATGGCAATTTCAGGTTTAAGATCGTGGGTACTTAATTTAAAAAACAAACTAATGGGTTTTATAAACTACTTTTTAAAAGGTGTTTTCTACCCCTTAAAATATTTAGGAGTTGATTATGATTTATTAATTATTGGATAAGTACTATTTTAATTAGGTGATTAGCTTACTTATTAGATTATTATTAGAATTAATTTCCTAGAAATACTGGTTTTTGTTTTTAATCCTCATCTGAGGATATGTTGAGGGAGGGAGGAAGAGAGAGAGAGAGAGAGAGAGAGAGAGAGAGAGAGAGAGAGAGAGAGAGAGGAGCGTGCACGCACGCAATGTGAGAAAGAAACATCTATCAATTTGCCTCCTGTAAGCTCCCTGACAGGGGATGGAACCTGCAACCTTTTGGTGCACGGGAGGATGTTCCAACCAATTGAGCCAACTCGCCACATTTGAATACAGTTTTTGTTTAATTTTAAATTTATGAATAGCAACAGAAAATGAAAATTTATATGTTCATTCCCATTTTCATTACCAAAATAGGTTAGAGAAGTCCAATCCAAAATATATACTATTTGAAATAAAATTTACCTGCCTATCAGATATTTTCAGCCTCTTTTAATATTCTGGAATTCCTGTCATCTGACTTTTAGCTGTGTTGTTTATTTTATATTAGCTATGCTTTGAATTTGATTTTTCTACTTGGATTTACCAGTTTTGATCAGGTCTGTTTATAAGCATCTGCATTAATTGATGTTTACATGTCACACTGTAAATATGGGAGTTACTGAACTTTATTGGCTTAAATTAAGGCATTTTTTTTTCTGTTCCCCCAATATAACACAAAGTTCCATGAAGACAGAGATTTGAATTTTTTTATTTATAATTGGTAACAGAACTGTTCATTGACGACCAGTTCTGGTACTATTTTAGAAATGCCAATAATAAATTTTTCTATTTGATAGGCTGCCTGCTATTCTGTATGACTTGTTTTATGAACTTTGTTCTTTCATCTTTTCACTATGTAAGTTACTCTTAATGTGTCATTCGACCTGTTTCAATCTTGTAAAAATATGCCTGTTAGTTTGGGCACACAAAGGGCATCATCCCAGGCACCATCCCTAATTTCATGTGTTCTGTATATAAACATGCAAGTGAAAATGTCCTTGCCAGTGTTGAGAAAGTTACCTAAAATACAGTTACTAAAGCAAGATTTTGATTCTCTCTTTGAAGAAAACTTATGTACAAGAGATTTACCTTTATATAATTGGGACACAACATATATTCACTTGTGAATTAGGTCAGTGTTTTTCAGTATCTTATTTTTAACCTGCTCTCCTGTGATGTTTTTCAGTTTGTCTTTGACATATATTAGCTTATAAGGTTTTGAAGACCTTTGCTTTCTGGAGTTTACCTTCTGAAAACAATGGATAGATTTAATGTGCTTTTTCTAAGGAACTTTACCTTCTACCCTTGTTCAAAACTGATGTAGTTATTTATATTTAATGGTTTCAGTCTATGTCAAATAGAAGTCTTGTATTGTGCTAGCCTGAGTTGTAAATAAGAGTCACTTGACTTTTAAAAGCCCCATTTAATATATATTACATCATAGTTTATTGATTACGTTCGATCACCAAAATTACATGCACGGAGGGAAGTTCCTTTCCTCTCGCCCTCAAGGACTATTTCATATCTTCTGCAAATTTTGAGAACCCCCTCTCCCAAGATAATGCCCAGCTGATGACCTTGCTTCCTACTTTAACCAGTTAAAAAACAAAGAGAATGAGAAGGGGACTTCCAAAGACTCCTGCCACTATAAAAATCTCACCTTTTTTTTTTGATTGTTTCCACATTGAGAGTTATAGTAAAATAAATAAATAAATTTAAAGCACCTATAATACTATGTTTTTCCATCCAGCACCATAAATGACATATTCATTTTTCTAAGTAAAACCAGTTCTTATATTTTTTAATTCTCTGTCATTCCCTTTTAACAACTAAGAACATAACTATTTCTTCTCTTTCTTGCTTACATTTTCAACTTTTTGTTTTGTACTTGGTCATTCTTGTCACTATACAGTTATGTTGCTAATTCTTCAATCTTAAAGCATCAAAAATCTTCTCTACCAATAACCGTGTTTTCCCTATCAGTCACCACTCCTTTGTTTATTCTCTTTTGCAGTAGACTTCTAACTTGTCCAATTGACCATCTCTATTCTCTTTTCCCAGTGTCTTAACTCTGCTTTAATGAGACTTCAACTACCAAAAATCGCTCCCATTACTAGTGACTTCTGTGTTGCTAAATCTAGTGATCAGTTCTTAGTCTTCATCCCATTGATCTATCACAATGTTTGTTATTATTTACTTTCTCCTCTTGGATATGCTTTATGTGGCTTTAAGGCTACCACTCATTCCTGATATTATTTCTTAATCATCTTTGCTGGTTTACTCCTCTTCTTTCAGAATGTTGGAGTGCCTCAGGGCTCAATTTTTGGAACTCTTCTCTTTCTACACTTAACATTTCTAATATAATTAGAATTCAAGAATCCCCCCGACCCCACAGTATAGCTTATTTCTTAGAAAGTGTAGATTATAGAAAATACAGTTAAATATTGCTATTTTCAAACTATGTTTTAGACTTTCTTGGCCCTGTTTTAAAGCTTGCAGTGAGAACTCAGCCATCTAGTGGCAAGGTTGGAAAAGTAAATAGGACTGATTTAGCCACACACCATTGTGATATAATATGGTTACTCTTAAGGTGTGATAGAAATGGATATTGTACTTTTCATATCTTAAACCTTAAAGATATTTTAAAGGAATTTTATATGAACCTGTAATGATTTGGCATTATTTGAACATTTCCATGTGTCTTCAAAGGATGACATTTAAGAATAAACATTATGAAAAGTTTCTGTCACCAAATTTTAGAGTCTATGTTAAAAAAATACAAAAGTAAATATGTTTGATATATAAAATTTGAGAAATATGGTAAAAATAAATTTAAAATATCTGTAATATACTGCCTAAATGCAGCTTATATTTTGAAATGTTGTCTTCTAGTCTTTATGTAGTTTAAAAACCATTCTGTGATGATATAATTCCCTGCATTTTGCTCTTAGCATAATATAAGCATCCATGTTTTCATATTTTTAAAAGTGAACATGATGTTTAGTAATTGCACTGTATCCTATCTAATAGATTCCTTTGTCTTGAACATATAAATTTTGCTTTTTTATTGATATTTATTTATTTACTCATTCATTTATTTATTTTTTTCTTTTGTTAGTAAAGCTGCAGTGAGCATCCTATGCATAATTTTTTTTTCTGTTTTAGGATTACTTCCTTAGGATAGATTGCCAGAAGTGGAGTTACTGGGTCAGAGGGTATGATCTTATGAACTTTTTTCCTTTAAAAAAAAAACAAACCTTTTTTTTTTTTTTTAGTTTATTTGCTATCCAGTTGACTTGTATTCATTGTGAAAAGTGAAACTCATAGTGATTATACTTAGTACTTGGCAGAATATTGTGTCTAAAGGCCAGGCTCTGTGATCAGAGAAGTTTGGGAAATTCCTAGAGTAAAAAAGCCTTTTTAAGTTGGCTTCTCTCAGCATTTCCTGAATTTAACTGAGCTTTGGATGGGTGTTTGTTTGTTTTTGTGAGAGACATTTTAACATTTTCTGGAAGTTTTACAAAAGATATATTTTATGAACTACTGATCCAAAATTTCAAAACATTTTTAGTGACCAAAGCAATTAAATATTCATTCTAATAGTATTTTTAGAAAGAAGATGAAAATAAAGCTGTTTACTATGTGATTGGGGGTATGTTTTTATAAAATCTTACAACTTTAACAATTTAAAACTTTTTATATTGATTCCTAAAGAATATTTTAATGCCCCAATGGCATCAAATACTTTTTATGATCTTTAATAAAATTTGAAATATAGACAAAACATAAAAGTAGGAGATAATGTATATTGTACAAACCTTTTTTTCTTCATTTATTTTTCCCGACAGAATGTGAAAACCTTTGCATCTTCTGATAGTCTAGCCAAGGTCCAAGAAGTAGCAAGCTGGCTTTTGGAAATGAATCAGGAACTGCTCTCTGTGGGCAGCAAAAGACGACGAACTGGAGGCTCTGTGAGAGGTAACCCTTCCGCAAGCCAGGCAGATGAGGAACAGATGAATCGTGTGGTGGAGGAGGAACAGCAGCAGCAACAGCTAAGGCAACAGGAGGAGGAACACACCGCAAGGAATGGTGAAATTGTCGGAGCAGATCCTAGACCTGGAGACCAAAATGATTCCCAGCAAGGACAATTAGAAGAAAACAATAATCGCTTTATTTCGGTAGATGAGGACTCCTCAGGAAACCAAGAAGAACCAGAGGAGGATGAAGAACATGCTGAGGAACAAGATGAGGAGGATGAAGAGGAAGAGGAAATGGACCAGGAGAGTGATGATTTTGATCAGTCTGATGATAGTAGCAGGGAAGATGAACATACACATAGTAACAGTGTCACAAACTCCAGTAGTATCATGGACCTGCCTATTCACCAACTCTCCTCATCATTCTATACAAAGACAACAAAAGTGAGTATATTTAGTCTGCTGTGAACTTGAAAAATTTTACATATCCAATTAATTGTAATAAAATTTCTCACAGTCTTTCTATTGCAAAATTATTCTTTAGATATGTAATGATAAAATGAACTAATTTTTGTTTTATAGAAGGTATTAAAAATATTAGAAATGATGATACTGGGACAGTCTTATTATAAATGGAGGAAAAGTAATTGATCCTATTTATTATTATGAAAAATAATTAATTTCAAATTTTATTATAAATCTTATCCCTGGGACAGAGATCAGTAGATTGTGTGCAGTGGAGAGGCTTAGGATGAAACATGACTTGTGTGAATCAAGTAGTAAAAATATTTAATTATTTATAAAATGCAGCCTGTGGAGCAGCTTTCTGTTCACAGGTATTAATCCAACACATGAGTTATTGGGAGTTACTTCAAATCCGTTTTCTTACTATGATGATTAAAATTTATCCTTTGTAAATAGTCTCTTTATTATGTAGTTAAACAAGGTGAGACTATAGCCTGAATATTAATATTTGGTTGTTGGTGAAATCTGAGTTGGTATTTTTAAAAGTTATAAAGTACTAGACACTGACATTTAAGAGTAAACATTTTTCCTACATTATGAAACCATAAGAATTTATGGTGTTATCATCACTGCTTGCTTCCCTCCAGATTTTATCATATTTACAATATTCAGGAACAACAGAATCATTGGATTTTCTTTCTGACTTCATTTCAAAGAAACACTCTGTTTATTTCTCAAAGGCATTTGAATATTTACTAGAGATAAACAAATCATTTTGGTTGATATTTGACTGTGACAGGTCGGAGGAGATGATGTCACTAGGCTGATATTTCCAACTTCCTGTTAAGTTTCTGCCACTCCTTCTCTTGCCTGCAGTTTTCCTTTCCCTTCCCATTCCTGGGAGATAACTCTGTTATCTCTGCCTCCTTATCTCATTTTCCTACCGGTTGCCCATGGAGTTAACCATAGACATATTTTATTTTAGTTTTTAAAATATATTTTTTATTTCATAGAGGAAGAGTGAGGGAGAGATAGAAACATCAGTGATAATAGAGAATCATTTATTGATTGCCTCCTTCACACCCCCTACTGGGGATTGAGCCCACAACCCAGGCATGTGCCGTGACCTCCTGATTCATAGGTTGACACTGAACCACTGAGCACATCAGCTGGGCAACTGTAGACATATTTTAAAAGGTGGATGGTTAAATTCCTGTCTAAACTGGAGGAGTCTTATTAGCTCAGGGCCTTAGTGATTAGTCTAGTACTGAGAAAAACAGTTCCATTGGATGCAGTCCGTTGAGGCTGTGCCAGAGATCAGGGACTGGAATACACTAACCAGTCACACCGTTACTGCTTCCCAGTATTATCTTTGCTATTGGATAGGCAGGGAGGTGCTAGAATGTTGAAGTCTGTCTGAGCTGGAGGGAAGAAGTATTAGGGCGGCTGCAGTAAATTTGGTCTTCCAGTTTGTTCTTTTGGGTGGTATGTGGGCTTCTTTCCTCAAAACATTCCTTACTATTATATCACTTAAAATTGTGGTCATGGCCAGGATGGAGTTGTGGAAAGAGGGAACATTATTTCTCTCATTACCCAGTCTTTCTGCTGTATTCTCCTCTCCCACCCCCATCAAAATATAGTCAGAATTAAGTTATATAGTGTCTGGGCTTTGCTTCAAAATAATACCTAAGGGGAGAAAAAGGAGGGTATAATGAAGACTTGCTAAGTAGTGCAAAGCCACCAATGATTTCTGCTACATTTTAAATTACAAGAAATCCAGTTAGGCAAAACAGACCTTTTTCTAGCAGGAGAAGCCATTATAATATTAAGTGCGAAAACTTCCAGCAGGTTTGACAGGTGCTTTATTTATCCCCCCCCCCCCCCAAGATGAAATTGTAAATAGAACTTTTAGATGTGTGTTGTATATAGTACCTCCTTAGAAACAAACTATACTGAATTTAAGTCATTTTGATGACTCTTGAGTTGTGAATACAAATTATTGTTTTGTATATACAAACTCAAAGGTGTATACTGAGTACTGATAGCAGAGATAGATGTGTATGCATTTATATGTTGTGTACATATACATACATACATACATACATATATATATGTGTGTGTGTGTATATATATATATGTATGTGTGTTTATATGCTTTTAATATGTTGTTTATTTCGAGATTGCTTGCTTCCATAAATATGGCAAGAAGAATATGAAACCATTTGATGGTTAAGGCAGCAAAGCCCTTCTATGTAATTAGGATTTCCATCTAAAATTGGCCTGTTTTTGTTTTTTGTCCATTCTTGAAACTTTCTTCAGGATCATTTCCAGAGTACTTTATTATTATTTTTTAAGAACATTTAAAAACGTCAGTTATTATTGAGTTGCTTACAAAGAAAATGTTAGTCACCCATGTGTATAAATTTGTTTAGTACAATAAGTAGGAAAAAACTCTCTATTTCAAATACTTCATTTTGGAGCCGCTTTAAATTCTTAATCATTATATACATAAGACTACAGACATTACCCTAGGCCACAGTTTCAGGTCTTTAAACTGTGATTTTTGAGAAGAGTAGAGGTATAATAATCACTTTTAAAATCCCATTTTTAAGGTTAATATGGGATTTAATCTAACTTAGCCTAATTAAAAAAAATACATAACACTTTTCTCTGCTATGCTGCCCTCTAGGTAGAATTAGGCAGACACTACTAAGATTTTCAGAACTACAAGTAAGTCTGTATATATTCTAGATTCTAGAATGTGGTGGTTTTCTAATGCCATGTTACATTTGAAATCACCAAGCTATCCTTTAAAAAATATAGAGATCAGTTAAGTGCTTTTTGTGTGTATTTAACAAACCATATTGAAGATATGAGGGCTCAAGTCTAAAGTTATAATAGGAAGATATAGCAATGGAATTCGAGGCTGGATAACAGATACCACTCTCTCTGTAGTTATCAAATTGCTTCTTAACCAGGGGTGGTATGCCAGCTATTTCTGTCAACTTGATTAGTCTGCCTATCCTCTTGATCTTTTCATGGAGAAAACCATATTTGAACACTGATTTCTGCTTCTTCCACATCTGTTTAGACTTTAGAGCCTTCCATCAGTTCTCACACAACTTCATTCGTAATCTCAGCTTAATCTGTTTTATTCTTCCCATCCTAAAACTAATCAGTTTTTTTAAAAATCCTTTTTGCCTCAAATAAGAAATAAATGGTTAGTGTTTATTGTCCATGAACCCCAACCACTCCCATTAACCACTGCTACTGGGGAACTTTGTAGGACAATGTGGCTAACATCTGAAATATAATAGGGCCCTAAAATCTACTGTTATGAGTAGAAACCTAGAGAATGTTGGCTGCTCCAGGATGTACCTGGTCTTGTCTTGTTCTTGTGAGACAAAGAGCTTAAGTTAAAAATTCTGTTAGGTATAGACATGCCCAGAGAGCAAGTGCTCTCTAGTGGAAAAAGATATTTTGGAATAGATAGAAGGATATACAGGAGGATTGGGAATACTGTGATAGTTGGGCCCATATCTAATAAAAATAAAAATATGACATACATTTTTAAGGGGATGCTATTCACACATCTTCCAAGTTGACAGCTATGTATCATTTCCTTTCATTAAAATTTAAGTCAGTCTTTTAAACTTTCTTTTTCTTTCTTGAATCTTACACATGGATGCCAACATGAATTTTATTTTATGGTCAATTTCTATTTCTTGTTAGTGTAGTTTTAAAAATATTTGTTAAAAAAATTATTTTAAAATATAATAGCTCTAAATATTGGTGCTTATTAAATAAAAATTAGTCATGTTTAAATCTGTATCTGTTTTACTACAAGCAATTAAAGATTATTTTGATTATTGGTTTTCATTCTAGACAAAAAAGTCTCTCCACAGAATGGAGTATTAAAAAAATTTGTAAGGTTTCCTTTGGTTTGTACACAGAGAAGATAAATATCTCTGAAGTATCCACAATTACAACAAAATGTTATCTTCAAAATGTTCCTGAAGCAAATTGTTTCAGGTCTTATAGTGATCTGATCTATATTGATGTTTTTGTTGGTGTTAGGGAGGATGGTATGAAGAGGATAAAGAAATATGTCATGGTGGGTTCTGTTTCTAACTTTGGTAGACAATTTCAAAATAATGTCTCAAGCTCCCATCATTCACCCCGGCCTCAGTCCTACACATCTGTTTATTGGGCATTGTCACTAGAGTGGTCCACTTAAACTACTGTTTCTTTCTTCATACCAATTCTTTATTTTCCTCCCCAGATTTACAGTCTTTATTAATATCCTGGTCTTAATGGTCATTTGGTGGAAAAACAGTTTGACTTTTTCTTATCCTCTAATCCCATGAGTCTACTGAAAATTTAACAGAGTTGATTATTTGGACTTCCTTTTTCTTACCCCTGGGTGCTTATAAAATAAAAATTAGAGTCAGCGTTTAAAAATGTTATGAGCATCTTTGCTGAGGTTTCTATTTGCACTATGCTATAATGTCATGTCCTTGACAATGAGTTGGCAGTATGAACGATTAGATGCATTTTTTAAAAGGGATTTTTACCTCCATATAGATCTGTAACCCCAATATAAATATTTTGATGAAGCCAAGTCTGTAAGTGGATATTTGAAATCTTTTATAATCTTACCACAGTTTTTTTCACCTCCATGCCCCCACTAGCTTTTAATGACTTTGCTCCTCTCCAACTTGCCAGATCCTTGAAAAACCTGATTTCATCTCTATCTTTATACCTTCCTAGAATTAGAAACTTTAATTCTTTGAATCAATTGTTGATTTTCTATGTTGCACAGTTCATTTGGTATTACCTTGTGATTTTTTGTAAGTTTGTTTTGAGTTGACCTTTAATTTGTTTTTTAAACAGAAGAAATTTGATATATTTTTTTTTTTCTGGTGCTGGTTCAGGTTGAGAGTTGAAGATCCACAAATTGTAATGTGAACAATTCTCAT